ATCCCGGGCCCGGGCTCGGTGGCCCCTGGCCGGCTCCGTCCGCCTGGGAGGGCCGTGTGCGGGCGGCGCGCTGCTCCGGCCCCCGGAGGGGGACAAGCTCACGGAGCAGGCACCCACAGCGCAGGTGACAGACACCCGGCACTGTTCCTCCGGCACCTGGTCCACGCCGTGCCCCTGCGTCCCTGGGGCCCCACGGCCATCCTCAGGCAGGGACCCCTCTCCCCGGGTTCAAGGGCCGGCCAAGTCCCCACGGGACCTTGCCCCAGGAGAGCCCTGCACCTGCCTGCTCGCGGGCCGCAGGGTCGGTGGGCTCCCCGCGGCGGGACGCGCGGGCTGCGCGCGGAGAAGGGGACATCCCCGCCGAGCCGGCCACCCCGGGGCCCCTGGACTAAGGGGTGCCGTCGGGCGAGCTGCGCTGGCGGGGCACCCGAGGTAGGAGAACGCGGACGAGGCACTTCCTCGGGGGAAGGGCGGCAGAGTCCCCGCGGGCTTGCCCACCCGGTCCCGCTGCCCCTGAGCTCCCGGACAGGCCGGCTGTCACTTCCCCCACTTCCCCGAGCGTCTTGCCCTCGGGGCGCACCTCTCCCGACTGCTCCCGCCTCGCGCCCCTCGGGGTGCCCGGCGCTGCCCTGCGCGGGGAGGGGGGGGCGGAGGGGGGCGCTGTGTGCGCGGAGTTCCTGGAGCGCGGCGGTCGCACGAATCCTCACGACGGCCGCTTCCCAAGTCTGAGATGCAAAACTCGCACTACTAGTTTTCTTTAAGTCAGTCCACTTTCATTTTGACCCAAAATGTACTCAGAGTGAAACTTTATGCTTCGATCAAAGGTTTTCATTGGTATAAATGGTTGACAGTGTAGCGTTCAGTCATTTCAGAGAATGTGTTCACATAATCACGGGTAAGGCTTCTCTGTTTATTAAGAAAATTGCCACAGCCCATTAAGAAGGGAAATTCAATTTAATATACATTTCGTCTTCTTTAATATTCCGATAACTTACTATAGTTTAAAGCTGACATTACAAGCTTTAAGTTCCAACGTGTATATGCTCAATCTCACACATAAAATATGTTAGTAGCGATTTTTTTGAAAGCTTACAGGTGATAAAACATCTCTAGTTCAAAAAGGATGAATCTTTAGGTTTTGTGCCCTATCAGTGATTGAAATCATTTCAACAAACTGATTTCTTGTGTCCCTTTTAAACCTCTTCACCTGTCACTTGCACTTGCTATGCATCTATGTTAAATATTTGCACAACAAAATAACACCATAACTATTTTATTCTCGTTAGGCACTCCGGTGTCATCATACCTCAATGGGACACCAAGGTTTCTCTGTCAAAAATGGTAAGATATCTTCTGTATCTCACTCTCTTCAGGGTTTCTTGGATGGCCACAGAGTAACCACAAAGGCTTATCCCCTCACCTTATAAAATAAACAATGGTAATCACTAAATTATTGACACTGTAAGTTATTTAAAAAAATTGTTTTTAGTATTTATTTATTTTTGAAGGAGAGACAGAGTGTGAGTGGGGGAGGGGCAGTGAGAGAGGGAGACACAGAATCCGAAGCGGGCTCCAGGTTCCAGGCTGTCAGCACAGAGCCTGACGCGGGGCTTGAACCCACAGACGGCGACATCATGACCTGAGCCGAAGTCGGACGCTCAACTGACTGAGCCACCCAGGCGCCCCAACACTGTAAATTATTTTTATACTTAGAAATGTCAACCTTACCCACGTAGGACTGGTGACCATTAGCATGAACAGTTACTCTCCTGTAATCCCACAGCGTCTAGAACCTGGGCTCTCCTCACAGGTCCTGCAACGGACTCTGTTTTCCTTCTACGGATTAAAAAATTGACCTTCCGAGTGCATTGAGTGGCTTGCATGAAGAGCACAGCAAACCCCAAGGGGGCGCCAGGGGCAGGCTGCCCAACCGTGGCCTTGATCTTTGTCCCCATCAGTTTGCAGTGGGGGACTGGCTATCCAGGCCTCTGCGGGCTCTGGTTGTGGGCCCAGGAGCCCAGAGCTGAGCCTGCAGCAGACACTCCATAAATATTTGTCGAGTGAAGCGCCAGATGATTAAATAAATGAAAACAGTGTATTTTATTACGAGACTGGTGTGGGCTGTTAGTCACTTAGGCTGCTGAACGAAGCCCCGGCAGTGAGATTCCGGAGGTTAGAAAGTCTGCAGAAAGATGCCTCCAGCCGAGTCCCGGAAACAGCACACACAAGTGACTCATTTTCTAGCCGATTTGTTGGTTTTCTCCACCAAAATAACCACTACGCTTACTTCCAAGTTACCTTTACATCCTTAAAGGCACAAGGCTTCTAAACAGGTTAGTGTCCATGTTAGTTACAATCAGTAGCCATTTGCCGCTAAGGTCTCACGAGTTCAAGATGGTGTGGAAGAGGACGCGGCTGCCTGGCCTTCTTTCCCAAGAGGCCCACTGTGGGCCGGAAGTGTGAGCATTCTTCAAAGAGACCCCGTGGGGGAGGGGCAGTGGGCTGTTTCCAAAGCAGCAGGAGGGCTCCATTGCTGGCTGTGAAATAAGATCATAAGCCCAATGGAGGGTAAAGCCTGCAGAGGGTAAGTCTGCCGCTTCCAGGCGCCAGAGAGGACCGGCCCCTCCTTTGGGGGTAACACAAACACAGTGTCATTAAAACGCTCCCTGCTTAACACCTCCCCCCAAATCCTGCCTCCATTATTCATCTCACTGGGCCAAGAATAAACCTTTGCTCAGGGTACCGTGTGCAGGAGTGAGTGCTTTTTAGGTGTGGACGTTTGCAATCACATTTCTCGACCTCTGACTCAGATGTCTTTCCCAGATCCGAGCTCATTCAAAGCTGGGAATTTTTTTTCCTCCCAAAGGTGGAAAAACATCTTTCCTTTCCAGTGTGTTCGAGGTGTAAAAAAGATACTGTTCTCCAGGAAAGGGTGGAGGAACCCCGTTGTCTTTAAAACCCCACTGAAAAAAATTTTTTTAACTTTTATTTATGTTAGAGAGAGAGACAGAGTGTGAGCGGGGGGAGGGGCAGAGAGAGA